CCAACCAATCACAGCAGATGGCCCCGCTGCTGGTTCCAGGATGGCTGCAGACCAGTTTGTGGTGGACGCTGTGACTTAATGATAATCCACACTGACTGTCTCTGTGTGAGGACTCACTAGTTTCACCAGAATCCTGCACAGGGCCTTTAAACGACAACAAAATGTGTAAGAGATTTAAGGGAAGCTGCAGCAGCACCTACCATTGAACGACAGGTTAATGGCTTCCAGGTAGTTGCCTTGGGCAGCGGTGGCGTTGTAACCGACAGGAAAAGCATCTGTGACGAATGTGAGCGAGCACACGGGTCAGACTGTGGACGGGAACGAATGCAAAGATCTACGAGTCGGCGAAGGACACGGATCACTACCTGCTTCCTTCAGTCGCACCAGCACTGGATACTGGATGAAGAGCTTCTTGATAGTGACCAACATCGACGTCCACTCATCCCGTCTCTCGTTCTGAGCTACGACCCTGACGAGTAGAATCAGACTCACAGGCCGCTCTGTCGCTGGTATCCACAGGTGTTGGGATGCTTACCTGTAGAAGTCTTCATAGAAGCGTCCCTCGTGGTCTTCTCTGATGGAGCCTCTAAGAATCTCTGGAAATTCCTCTGAACAAGATAAGATATCGCGTTTATCTACCAGCAAACACACGTTAAAGCTAAATGTTCTTGTCACGCTTACACACAAAACCAAACAAGGGAACGAGGGCCCCCTCCACACTGCGTGAGCAGTTACTTTACTCACAGTCGGGGAAAAAGAGAAACCTCCTGTTTGCAAACCAGCAGTGCAACAAGGCTGACCAAACATGCGTCTCAGCTCACACTGACCTAATGTTTTGGCGTTGTAGAACGTGCGTGAGAACAGTACCACCGTCACCTCGTGGCTGCAGTTCTTCTCCTGGTTTGGGATTAAACATGCGAGGAGCGTGAGAATCATTCGTATGGTGACTGAGAGGAAACAGCAGCGTGCTGATACAAACAGGGCGAAGGAAGAGAAGCACAAACCTTCCACTTAGTGAAAAGGTCAGACAGGAAACCATTGACAGCCTTTTCAAAGTAGAGGTCGCCTAAGAGAAACGGCTGGATTAGACACGGCATGAAAAGCTCGCCTTAAAAACAGAAACATCAAATCATCTTACCGTAGATGTCAAAGTCCCACATCTCACAGCTCATCTGGATAAAGATGTAAACCATGGCAGACGTAGATCTGAACACCACCTGTGTCACAGCAGCATAGTGTCTGACAGCAGGAAGCAGGTGGACAACACGTTTGTGGCGTTTCCTCCACACCAGAGGAGATTTTATATCCAATGGAAAACAGCAACTCAAGCTACCGACACAACAGCTGTTGCTTCTTCATGCAAGTCTGAGTCCAGGTGTGAGCCGTCCTGTTCAGCACCAGGATACATGTGAAGTAAGCTACATCCTACCACAGGCTACAAAAACACTGATTCACTTTCTTTTAGCTCTTTAGTCAGTAAAGTAGTGATGCAGGACCGGAGGAGGTCAAACCTTTCAGTCGGAACTTTATTGATACTCTTGGTTATTACAATGACATGTTAACGTCTTTGCAACATGCGGACACTGTGGGATGGATAAAAACAGGGCCAGCGTTTCCTTGGCTGCGGTAACGACAGATGGCTGCATCAGCATCTTCTTCCACTTACCCTGGTGTCTTCACTGATGTAGCCACAGGTCACCTTCTCTCCTTTCACCCAGAGTTCACTGGCCTGAGCTCTGAAGATTCAAACACATCTTTAGTATGACAAACTCTCACTTCATTCGCCATCGTGAACAAAGCGTAAATGTCACTAGCACTAAAATGCCTCATCCTTCTGGTTAACCCTTACAAACAGCGCTGTGACGTCATTTCATTTATGTACCTGATTCCTGCGAACTCAACCTTCTGGGTCACATAAGCACATGTGCTCACCTGGAAGGAACCAGAGCACAGCAAACGTAAATACTACCACGCACGCAGCATTCAAATGGACCTGACGCTCACATGGCCCACCAGGCTTTTCTTCAGTCTCCACATGTCTCCTCTGCCGATGTACTGGTCCTTGAACGTCAGCTCCACCAGGTCCAGCGTCACATCCTGACAGACAAAAAACAGACACTGTGTCCCAGCGACGGTCGAGGGGCCGCGGAGCGCTCGGAGCCAACGTACCTTAGGGTCGACGATGTTAACGATGACATCCTGGTATGCACGCAGCTTGAAGGCCTGTGCGACAGTCTGGTCCACACTGATCGTCTCTGTGTAACGACAACATGTCCATCAGCTGTGAGGCAGAGCTATCATATTACCCATGTACATAAACACACAGCGCCAGCAAGCATGAAAGCTGACATCAGGGCCAAAGGAGCCCTGCAAGTACATTTTCATTTACAGTGCTGTTTTTAAACGCAGCACCTGGTAACAGCTCAGGCTTCAGACTGATCCAAGCATTCAGATGCTGCCTCTACACCTGTGAGCAGGGATCAGACCTCGATCAGCCCAGAAACAGAGAAAAGCTGTCTTAAAGGGAAACGACTACATTAAAAAGTCAATCGTATCGTCTATTGCAGCAATAAGCCATCAGGTTTTATCTTATAAAGAATAAATGACAGTTTAAACACCACAAACACGCTGCTACCTCAGATTACCTTTCTGTAGGTCCTCTTTGAGGCTCTTCACCTGCAGCAGGAGGGGGCTGGGAATATTTCACAAGGGACAAGGTCACATTATAGTTTCAATGGCAGACGCTTACCCCTATAAAAACACAGCAATCTCACATAATCTCACCTGTATTCATCGGTGGGATGTGCAATCTCAATTATGTTCCCCAAAGTGACTTGAGGGAAAACTTTTGGGTTGACAACCAACTCATCGTCTATTCGGAGGATAAGTTCATTTGCAAAAGCAATCAAATCTTTGCAGAGAAGCAAACACGGAGAAGAGTCTCTACTCACCGCTTCCACCGAAACCTTTCTTGTGCAGCACAAGCTTATAGGACTTACTGGTCTTCATGGTTTAACCGGCTGGGAAACAAAACCACGAGACCATCAGTGACATCTCAAACCAATGAGAGAGCTGAATTCTGGCTCATATGAAGGTATCGACCCTGCCATGGCATTTTCCCGTGAGGACCAACAAGCAGCTGCCAAGCAGGACTTATACAATAACGGTCTTAACTACTACTTAACACTAAAGAAAGACATAAACACGTGGGCACGAAGAAAACAGTACCTGAACTCTATTTCTCCAACAACTCACTGCCAGCAGCCCAGATTGTCCACGGATGGTGATAGCATTGTAGCCTAGCAAACGACAAGTGGCTGTAACAGCTTACAGCATCGACCTGACAGCAGCACCAAGGCGGTTATAACTACCTACAATGAAAAGGCATCCAAACAACTCAGATCAGGTTTAACTACTGCTTCCAGGCAGACATGTATAGCAGTCGTGTGACTGACTATTACCTACACTCTGTACGCTTCCTCCATATCATGGAAACGAGCGATGCGATTGGTTCGTGGCAGTTCAGAGAGCGTGTTAGAAAAACAAGAGACTAACTCCGCTCATTTCCGGCTTCGCTTTTTTTGGCACAATAATCCGAGTGTTGGATTTCCGGCCAGTGCAACACAGTTTAACAACACGTGTGTGTGTGTGTGTGTGTGTGTGTGTGTGTGTGTGTGTGTGTAAAACCGTGTACAGGTGAATAGAATTGACTTTCTGGGGATTTATTGGCCTGAATTATTGATCATAGATTAAGCCAGGTCACACCATACACATACCCATTTTAGCCCTAAACTCATTAAAAACAGCGTTGTGTTGTTTTTTTAAACATTTCAGAAAAAAAGAAACTAAATAAGATCTTTGTTGGAAGAACGAGAAAAGGTCAGAGCTAAAGAGACATATTCTGGGTGATCTTCTCTCTACATGTAAAACGGTAAATTGTCTGCTGGTAGTAGGAAATCGTTCACGAAAACTTTGCGTTGGCCGGGAATCGAACCCGGGTCAACTGCTTGGAAGGCAGCTATGCTAACCACTATACCACCAACGCATATATAGGTTACAAAACGGCTTGGTAAACTGGTGTTTCGGTCATTCAACTTGACATCGACACCAGTGTCTCCGTAGTTCAGTGGCTATAAGATAAGATAAGCTAACCTTTATTTGTCCCACACGTGGGAAATTTGTTTTGTCACAGCAGGAAGTGGATAGTGCAAAAGTTATATAGCAAAAATTAGAATACAATAAGAATAATATACTGTATACAACAGAATGACGTTCGCCTAACAGGCGAAAGGTTCCGGAAGCAGTGGTTTCTGTTTTTTGTTTGTTTAAATGGCTAAATATCTATGGGCTTTTTTTCTTGTATGGAAATACAAAACACAAAAGACATGCGCCCAACGTGGGGCTCGAACCCACGACCCTGAGATTAAGAGTCTCATGCTCTACCGACTGAGCTAGCCGGGCAGCTGTAAACTAGAGAAAAATACTTTGACTTTAGCTACAGTGTTGACAGCGCTGCTGTCATTGCTTATTGCTGTGTGTATGCCCAACAATACTTTAAGTGTTGATCATTGTAAACGGAAAAGTTAGTAGACTAAGGAAAAGACAAGATTTTTTTCGTCAAAATTTACGCGTTTATTCTCCTTGAAGGGCTTTAAGGCTCGTGTGTCTCTGTGGCGCAATCGGTTAGCGCGTTCGGCTGTTAACCGAAAGGTTGGTGGTTCGAGCCCACCCAGGGACGGCACTTTTTGTTGATTATTTATGGTGTAATTGATCATTGGTGTAGACCGGGCAAATTCACATTATGGTGAATATGGCATGGTGGACTTTCAAGCTTATGTTTTTACATAAGCTTGAAAGACATAAACACAATGTGTAAATTTGAAACAAAAACAAGGTTGCTAAAAAATTACAGATTACGCCATGGTTATGGTGGGGAATGTCTCCCTTGTCTTCACTAAGATTGTTTTTGTTCCCTCAAAACTTGGGGTAGCCTTAGATCACATCTATCATCTTTAACTAATGTATTAGAGCATTAATTAATTAATGCAATATAG